CTCAAGAGTTTCACTGCAATATATTTTTTTAATGTTCTTCTTGTGTTTGCTTTAAGACACAGGTAGCGAAGATATGGAAAGGACAGCTCAGCGGCCTCAAGTCTTTGTGGTCGTAAGCTTATACAAGATTGTGCTGAAAAAAAATTCTATTTTAAAAATAAAAACTTTCTGGACTGGCAGATGGGACATGCTTTTTTTTTTTTTTAGCAGAATTCATTATCTTGATAAATGGTATTTTGCAAGTTGGTGCATGTTGTAACTTCCAGGTTTCCTTTACCATCAGGCATGGGGTGCCTTCTTTAGACTTGGAAAGTATACTAATTTTGAGGAGTGATGTAGGAAGGTCAATAATCTTAGTGTGACACAAATTCCAGCTTGTAACTTTCTGTCAGTACACTATGCTAGAGATTAGACCAGTGATGGTGAACCTTTTGGGCTTGGCTTGTCAAAAATTCTAAAAATGCCTAACTTGACTGCTGGTGTATCATGCACACACACATCGAAACAAAAGAGAAATAATTCTTTACACATTCATTTATTTTTTTAAAAAATAAACAGTCTAGTCATGTGTGTGATTCACAGTATCTGCCACGCACGACTTACCTTGAGGCAATGTTAATTTTCTCTTGACGGGCCCCTGCAGGCTACCCGAGATAGCTCAGGTCACACAGGCTGTTTGTTCTTGAAGTGGCTTTGAAGAATGCTCTTCCATGCAATCTCTGAAACCATGTGAAAGCACGCCCCATTCTTGCCCAACTTTCAGAGGCTCCAGAGGCCATGTGACTTCTGGAGGCTAAGCAAAAGCACATTCCATTCTCGTGCAACCTCCAAAAATCATGCAGGAATGGGGCGTGTTTTTGAGAATAGTTGTTTTCAGGTGTTGATGAAAAGTGGCATGTCACTCAAAATGTTGTGGCATGTCACAGGTTTACTATCACTGGATGAGATGGATTGCCTTTTGGAGATGACTTAATCCTACCTAACTTTATTATAGCGCGAGATCAGAATTCCTAACAAAATGGTTAGTGTGTGATTTCAGAAGCTCTCAGAGTTGAGTGACTGTAACAGATGGAGAAGGCAGGCTTTGGAAGAGCAGGCTGGTATACCCAGGAGCAAAACACACAGCCTTTTATTGCACCATTGTAGGTAGTCTAGTTGGGTCATCTGAAGTATAAAAAAGACTGCTGAGTACAAAGAAGTATAAAGGAGGCCCAAGTAGTGCATTATTCGGTGTCAGAGTGACAGGCCTTGGTACTAGAGTAGCACAGAAGCAGGCTGGCATCAGGAAGAACGGGGCTCTCAAAGTTAAATGGCTGTTTTAGTAGAAGAAGCAGATGCCGGTGATGGTAGGCTGGCAGGTGTAGTCCTATAGTACAGGGCTTTTCAGCCTTTTCACCCATTGTACCACTTTTAGGATATGGCAACATCTGATACCACCAGTCACCTAGCAAGGTGTCAAAAACTTGATGACCAAAAAAAAAAGGGGAAAAAGTGATAAAGTACAAGTAGTCTTCGACTTACAACAGTTCGCTTAGTGATTGTTCGAAGTTACAATGGCACTGAAAAAAGTGCCCCCCAAGCCACAGCCGAGCAAGACACCTGCCTGCCCACCCGGCAGCGCTCTTCCTCCTGTCCGAGGTTTTCATTGTTGTGAGCATTTCTGTTGAGGATTGGCAGTGGAGGTGGGGTGGGGGGTATTTGGTTTTTATTCCTCCCATCTGCTGGGTGGTTGCAGCAGGTTTTGATCACTTCACATGACCCTGGGACACTGTGACCGTCATAAATATGAATCAGTTGCCAAGCCTCTGAATGTAAATCACAAGACCCTGGAGATGCTGCAATATTCCAGCTAATCGGCTCTTCTTCTGGGCTCAGCATGATCTGCCAGGATCAGTGCTGCTTTCCAGCTGGAGCTTGTCGCTGAGCCTGGCGCTTCCACTGAGCCCTGACAGCCTTGCAGCTGTAGCCGTCTCTCGCTCAGGCTTGTGCGGTGCTGCCACTGGTTCAGCTCATTCCCCTCCCCCGCTACCACTTTTCTAGGATGGTCGCGTACCACCTGCCAGGTGCCAATGTACCACAGGTGGTACCCGTACTACTGGTTGAAAAGCCCTGCTGTAGTAATCCCAGTTAAGTGATTAAACCAGGCAGAGAAAATTGGTTGGATAGCAGGCTTATATTATTACCGAACTGTTCAAGTGAAGCAGTTGTACAGTAGACTGACATGCAGAGGAGGAACTGTAAATGATCCATGTATATGCATTATTAGATAGTAAGTAAAACTCATCTGGGTGGCAGACCTGTAAAATTTATAAGCTAAAGCCCTTTCTTAACTTAAAGACAATAAATGTTTATTAACATTTGTTAAACTGTTAGCCTTGCTGTTCTTAAAAGTCATAACACATGGGGGCTAGCTGTGCTCTTAATTTTGTGCCTATTTACTCAGTATGGTGATTAAAACATGCTCCAAGCAAAAATAACACAGAAAAAAACTATACTGTTGAACTTTGAGTTCATATTCAGAGGGCAGAAAGTGTTGAACTGGCCAGAAAGAATAACATTGGCATAAAACTGCTTAATTAGGTTAAACATTATATCCAAATTAAGAAAGTTGAATGAAGTTGAAGCATGCTCAATGCCAATCACAGTCTGCACAAAATATTGTCTTACATGTCCAGTTTTAAAAAAATAATTTTAAGAGTAATTCCTGAACCAATTTTGGTGCCAATATGTGATCGGTTGTTGAATATTAATTGTCCTCCTGAATACCATCGCAACAGATGTTCCCAGGCAACCATAGCCAGATCCTTCTACCTCTGGCTTAGACTGCCTAGTACTCCCAAGAGTAAGAGTAAGGGTTTTTACCTAGTACTCCAAAGGGTTTCACTTCCTGACATAGAGTACTTAATATCCTCCCAACATCTCCATATCCTCAATAAATTAAGTAGCAATGGAACTTGATTTGGTGCCTTGAATCCCAACCAGTCTTGAAGATAGATTATCGCTGATTACTGTGGTCCTTGCCTCCCTTTTCTACTGCTGTTGATGGGTATATTAGCTGAAGACCATTAGATATCAGGACTATGTTTATCAGCTAAACATAATCTTCCAACTCTAGCCCTGCCTTAATTATCCACACTTTTGTAACCTTTTGTTTAGATTTTTGCAGAATGTTGAACATGGGGCTCCATTTAAAAATATTCTTGAAATTATTGTAGAATACAAATGCAAAATTAACCTGAATAGTTTTCTGGGAATATCTCTCCTGTATTTAAAAGAACATTGTGGCTGGCTGTCGATTTATTTCTGTGCCTACAGTAGACTGAATTTGCTTGAACTATAAACTCTTTGTTTTAAGCCTTCCTTCAAACATTCCTGTGGATGAAGATTTCTGATGAATGTTATTTAAGGAGGAGGTGCTGATGCTTTTCTTGTGGAATTTCCTTATTGGAGCAACCAGCCCGTCATTCTAATGATCTGTCTTGTTAGATACTTTTTTCTGGTTCTTTTAAGATTCTAGAACTCATTTCCTACTTTGTTCTGGTAGTCTTGATATGAGATCTATATTAATCTCTCATGGGATTTTGTTTTATATGGTTAATGATCTTAGTAAATAGCCTTCATTATATTTGTGCAAAGAAAGATTATCTTTTAGTAGGGGTTTCATTTCCTTTTCCATAATTATGAGTATCCTCATTTCAATTAATGAAAAGCACTTTTGATAAATCAAGTATCATGAAATGAGAATTTAGCTTGAGCCCTGTTAGCCATTTGTACAACCGTGAAATAGACATTTAAAGAAATAATCAGTACAGGAAGTACTCACTTAGTGCCTGCCCTGGACAGTGACTGTTCGCAGTTACAGTGGTACTAAAGAAATAATTAGCAATCAATACCTGCATTTCTGACCTTTACAACTTCTCTCTTTCCATCATCTGTTTGCCATTCCGGTCAGTTAGTATGCATTGTCCTGCACAAAATTGTAAGTACAGTTGTGGTCACATGATTTTTCACTTAGGAACCACTTTGCTTAACAACTGAGTTATTTATCCCAGTTGCTAAATGAGGATTATCTGTACTCTAGGATATCTCTACTGTTTTCTTGCTGCTGCTAGGAAAGAATGTATAAGGGAAGTAGTACTATGAAAAATCTGTTAGATGGAGAACTATCTATAAATTCTGTATGAAAGTATACTCTCTGTCTGAGAGTAAGGAGATATTGTAGGTGGTACTTAGGTTACATCCATTCATTCAACAAGAGTTCACATGGTCACATGATTGTGATCTGGGTGCTCCACCTGCCTCGTGATTATTGAAGCAAGCTGCAGTCACATGATCACAATTTCCGAAGTTCTCTGCCAGCTGCCCTCAAACAAATTCAGCGGAGAAGCCAGCAGAAAGTCAGAAATAGCAATCATGTGAGATCTTCACTTAATTAGACCAACCAAGATTGCTGGAACTGCCACTGCGAAGTGACACAGTCATGTGACATCACACTTTGCAATACAACTGCATTGCTTAGCAATGGCAGTTTTGGCCCAATTGCTGTCATAAGCCGAAGACTACCTGTAATGTGAAATAAAGGATGTGTATAATTGGCTTGGGTGGGCGTAATTTTGATATGCTTGATAGAGATGTATAAACAGGGTATGTGCATGAGATGAATTGGCATAAAAAAAGATATTTCAGGGTCATGTCCTATGGGAGACATGTCACAAACCTGAAGCATGGAAGCTGGTTCAGTAACTTCTCCATTTGAATGGCATGCTGTTTTAGCATTTTAAGAAAGATCTATCCTTGCAATAGAAATTTGTGGGTTTCTCTCCTGTGCCTTGCCTCTTCAACATTTTAAAGATGGAATATTTTTTAACCCATTAATACTCTCTCCATTTCTTTTCCATGCTAGAGTGTAGAGTATTCTTTGTAGCAACATCTCAAAATAGATATGAGATGTTGAAATCTCCTAACTTTTCATTATGTTCTCTGCTTTTAATTTTTTCTAGAACTTTTAAGTTTTGATGATCTAACACCTACCTCAGATAATTTATCACATCCCACTGCAAATAGACCAAAGATGCCTGGCAGAAGACTTCCTACTCGCTTCAATGGCAAGAATCCTGTGAGTACATGAATCACTTATATGTGAATTACCCATCATAATGATTAAACTAACGACAAAACAGGTCCCTGCACACTTTGGGGCCCAAGCCCAGCCCAAAGCTAGCAGCATTGGGACCATTCTGATCTTCAAAGAGAGAATGTTCTAGAAGGTGAGTGCTATGGCAGAAAAGGCATGTCCTCTAGGCCCCATCAACTGGCATTCCTTAGTTGACAGACCCCATTCTGCCTGACTGGATTGGACAGGTAAGAGCCTTTTGGCAGAGAAGGCTGGGGATTGGGCTGGCAACTGTAAAATAAAAAATATTCAGCGTGGTATTTCTGTTTGCACTGAATATCATTTTCTTGTAAAGACTAAACATATTTACCAGTGGCAATTTAAAATATAATGCCTTAGAACTCTGGCAGGTTGTTTGATATTCATGGACTGTCAATTCATTATCTTTTAAAAAAATATATATTGATTTTTCACAATTCAGCTGGTTTTAACGTTGCACTGTTCAGTTGTTTCATCAGTTGCAATTTATTTTACCCCTCACAATAACCTAACAGTGCAGAAAAATCAAATCATGGGCCATGGGTAGTCCTAAATAAAGACTTTTGCCATTTATTGCTTACATATTTGTTCCTGTTTGAAGATGTTGTTATAATAGTGTCCTTAAGAGACCTAATAATAGTGATAGGTTAGCTTCTGAATGCATCTTTTGGTCTGTATCTAAGGAATGGCACCCCCTAATGGAATAAAAAATACAAGTTGCAACCTTCAGTTGCTAAACCAGTTGACAGATATGCAACTTATACTAAAATGATTTAAATTACTCAATAGCTACTTAAGACATTAAGAAATAAAAACTCCTATAAGTAAAGTGTTCAGAAGTCATATAAATAGATAGGCAGAGAAACAGTCATCTATATACAAGTCGTTACTAAAGCATAGCTAGCCATTTTGTAAAGAAACAGTTGCTAACCAACATCTTGAATTTTATTTAGGAATAAAATAAAATGTACTAGATGATTTTATAAATGGGTATACTAAAAAGCTTTTAGAGTAAATACACAAAAAAGGCTGATTTCTGTTTTATATTTCCTTTCTTGGTTGAAGCCTGCTCAGACTCAAAACATAGAAAAAAATGTGAAGGTGCATAAAGAGGAAGAAGAAAGTGCCAAATTAAAATTATCTGAGGGTAAAAAGGTATGTTGACATTGCTTGTGTTTATATGTACTAAGAAATCAAAATGATTAGAGTATCCTAATCATTTAGAAAAATATTATACTAATGCAGTAGTTCTCAACCTTTTCTTCACCGTGGACCCCCTTTAAATACCTTGGGTGGCCACGGAACAGGGCCACAGATCACCAAGACAACTCAAGATTTAAATCATAACATTTCTTCAAACCTTTGTGGACCCCCTCTGATGACATCACGCCCCCCGGGGTCCGCAGACACAGGTTGAGAACCACTGTTCTAATGCATTGGTACAGATTTAGCTTGAGTAATTATGGGATGGGAGATTAAAGTTAGATATTTTTATGTCAGCCTGATGAAACAAAAATGCACAAATTTTGTTATTGAATAAATAAAATATTACCTATTATCTAGTTCAGTTGTGGGTAATATTGGAACAACCACTTTTTGATTATGTGATGATGATGTTACTAAAATTTAGGAGTAAATGATACAAAACTGTAGTACAGTTTCATGCCATTTGAGGGGAAAGAAATGAAAGAAGAAAACAAGAACAGCTTTCCTCAAATTTCACATCTTTATCAAAGTTATGAAAAATACACTGCACAAATTTTGCTGCTGAATTTCGGGATATGGTCTCAGGATACTGGGCAGTATAAATGAGGTTACTTGGGTACTCCTTGAGATACACAGCCCACAGATTGCCATATGCCGCTCTTCTGATTATAATATATCACTTTTCTAGAATAAAAGAGGCCACATTTTTATTAGAATCCTTTATTCATGCAGCATATTGCAAAATAATTTTGGCTTCCTCTGATAGTCTATCCCTAGTTTTATTAATCATCAAAGTATCAGTCAAGTACCCACCAGCCAATGTTTTAAGCCATTATTCTATGTAAGAATATAGACTTTGCTTGTTCTTCAATAAATAGCTGTGGTGGCACAGTGGTTAGAATGCATTATAGCAGATTGACTCTGTCCACAGCCAGGAGTTTGATCCTGACTGGTTCAAGGTTGACTCAGCCTTCCATTCTTCTGAGATTGGTGAAATGAGGACCCAGAGGATAATATGCTGACTTGTAAACCACTTAGAGAGGGCTGTAAAGCACTGTGGGGCGATTTTAAATATAAGTGCTATTACTGTTGCTTCAGTGAATAGATTTGACTGTATTCTCGCCATCCTCATTTAGACCACTGTTCTTCTGTTTCAGCCATCAAAACTTATTTCGCCAGTTCTGACTTCATTACCACGACCAGGTTCTATTGTAATAAATGCTGGAGAAGTGAAGCTCAGCCAGGAAACAGATGAAGGGGAAAAACATTCACTGGAAGAGCTAAGGTCTCAGATCTTTGATCTCTTGTTGACTGTAGAAAACTTGAGAAAAGAACATGGGTAAGAGCTTTTCTTTTTTTTTTTCCCACAACAGCTTTTTAAAGTGATTTAGGCACCATGAAGTTCTTCTGGTATTGTTGTACTATGGTTCCCATCATCACATACCACTGGTCTAGTTGGCTAGGGTTGACAGGAATTCAATAGCTGGAGAATCATGTATTTCAATTCCTACTATATAGATGGATAGAAAAAACCTACTATATTTGTCATATTAATTCAATTTTTTTATACATTTTCAGGATTAGTTCCGAAGTACTTTATAATGTGTTTCTTGATAAAGGGCTGGCTGAAACAACTTTCCTTTGTTTATAAATGAAAACTATGTATATAAATACTGCAACAGGAATAGCTGAGACTTTATTTTTGATTGCTAGTTTCATGTTTTATTGGTAATATATGAGTACATGCCAGAATTCGATAAGATACTCAGATACTCATTTCAATCTCCTCACTGGATGAGGAGATTCTGCACTCAGATAAATATGGTCCTTTTGGTTCATAGAGGAAGTTTAAGGTGGTTAACACTCGCTCATACTTCTGCTCTCAATATAGATCATTCCTGTTCTATTTGGAAGCTGCTTATCCTTTAAATCAAAATCTAGCTAGTATATTGCACAAGCTATGCAAGGATGTTTTTTCACTGCAATTTTTTGTGTGTGCAAATTTTAAAGGAAACAACTGGAAAAACTGAAAAAAGACTTGGAAGAAGAAAAGCAGATGCGAAGCAACCTAGAGGTAAAATATTTAAATAGAAGCCCAAGGAAACTTTATTTTCTATAGTCCCCATTACTTTCAATAAAGTAATGCAAATTCTTAGCAAGAACGTAACAAAACAGCCATAGTCAAGTACTGCATTTTGACTTCTTTAAGCTTCTAATTTTAGGGAAAGGATGTATTTTTTGCTAATTTTCCTCCTATTCCCTGAGATTTTCTGGGGAGATTTCAGCCATGGGATGGGAGCTCCTCTGAAGTATTATGAAAAGTAGCTGGTAAACACAAAATCAGAGGCACAGTGAACCGCTGTATTGTCTGAATGGCTCTGTGAAACAATGATCTACAGGTAGTGTAAGGACCTGCCTCAATCCCTCTTCCCAAGAAAGCAGAACCCCCCAGAACAGCTTCATTCCAAAAGGAACTTTTATTAGGAAAAGTTGACAGCAGGCATAGAAGGCAGGTTCTGAGGGCTTCCTGCATGAATCAGTAGGTTAAAAGAGTAGCTAGCAAACCCCACCCCAAAAGTCCATCCGGCCAGTTCAAAGTCCCAATCCCCAGGTTTGAACCCGCTGTGGGAACGGGATTGATAAGGCGCCATTCCCAAGGCTGTTAAGCTGTTAGGTCTTCTCGCCTCTTCTTCCACAGCTAGAGATAAGGCAGATGGCTGGAGACACATTCCATTCTCACCCCAGGCTGGCAGTAAGGGAAATAGATCAAAGAGCAGGCAGATAGAGGAAAGCGGAGAGGATACATTGTAGCACCCATCGCTTCCCCCCTCTCCCCCAGGAGTATGGCAGAACCTGCAGAAGCAGAGAATAAAGAAAACCACCCCCCTCCCAACAGCCGGGTTCTGACAGGCAGCCCTTCGCTTATCATCCTAATTGAGCTGAGAAATATGGTCATAAGTCATGTCACTCAGTCATATGACCAACCTAATTTTACAACATTTTTGCAGCTGTTGTAAAAAGAACACAACAGTCATTAAGCAAACTCATTGTTCTCAATAGGCATACTTTGCTGGAAACCAAAAGTAATCACCAATTTCCAACAAAAGACATAAATTGTGTTCAGATGACCATGCGATGTTGCAAATCATCGTACATTTCCGAGCACACAAAATGTGATGACATGAATGGGGGGAGGGGCAGATGTTGGAACTTTGAATGGTGGCTAAGTGACCACTCATTGAGCAAAGACTTTATTTGAATTTTGCCATTCAACTGTTCTTCTACTGAAGCCTCAAATTCAGACTACTTGGTACATATTTGAATTTCACTTTTATTGTGGCAAGATTGCAGTTTTGGAGAAAATATTTTTAAAGAGAGAATTGTTAAAAGACTAGATAGATGTTAATGTTATTTCCAACTTTACAAATGACATTCAATTTTAATTTATGTATTCAATCTCCATTTTGTAAACTACTTTTATATATTGATAGAAAATATAATTAGTGTTATGTAGACTGTTAGTGATTGATCTTTTCTTGGCTTAGAACCTAAGTTGAATTGAGTCTAATTAGTACTTGGATTACAAGATGACATAGAACTACAGTATCGAGGGTACAGCTAAACAGAAACTGAAAAACACTTCTACATGTCTCCATAGTCACTTGGGAGTTAAATCTTGAGGAAATCAAGAGGTTTCAAAGATTCTAGGCAATGCACTCATGGTTCCCAGCAAAACCACAGTCTTGCAAGTTTGCAGGAGGAAAAATCCTCTCCTGTAAAATCTGGTACTGAAATTGAGGGTAAGCTTAATCTTCTATAAAACTGCAATAGTCAGGCCCACAATTGAAAGCTAGGGATAGGGAATAAAATGACTACTTTAGGATTTTCTCTAAGAGTGCGTCTTTAATTGATATGTATTCCAGGCTATAGTTTTTTCCAAAGAACAAATATTATACTGTACTATAAAAGACTGTGATGTTAACTGAAAATTCTCTGTGATTCAAATTTATTTGGTTACTTTCATGCCTTTCTAAGATAACCAATTCAAGTATTTGGCAGACATTCAACTCAAAAAATGGGCATCCCTAGGCAGCACAGAACAAAAGTAAACAATAAAAATTAGGAGGAAAGTGTATTAGTATATTATGTGTGTTCATCACCTTGAGTTATTTCTAAAAATAATAAAGATGGAATAAAATAAGTCAATAAATAAAAACAATTAACAAAAACATATTATGTTCAAGAAAAACACTGTAAAATGGTAACCAGATGAGATAATTAGTAATTCAACTATACCCAAACACCTGGAGGAAAAGCCAGGTCTTACCAATTTTTTTAAAGGCAAGTAGAATTAGAGCCCATCATATATTGGAAGGGATTATTTCAGAGCACGGGAGAGATGTAGTTCCTAGGTCCTGTAAGAGGGCAGTGTTTAAGCGAGGGAACCTGGAGTTTGTCCTGCAGGCTGATGTTTTGGGGAACACATAGTTCTGCAGATATTTTGGTCCTAAGCCAAATATGGTTTGAACAGTCTTAATCAGCACCTTGAAAGACACCCAGAAGCCTGCTGAGAGTCAGTGGAGCTAACAATGTGGTGGTATTACATGGGCATAATGAGCTCCACCCTAACTTTCTGGGCTGTACTATTTGGACTAAATTAAGACTTCAGATAGTCTTCAGAGGCATTCTCGTTGCAGTTAAGAGATTAGTAAGGCATCTATAAACAAAGCCTGTTGATGTAGGAACAGGTATAACTGGTGCACGTTATGCAGTTGAGTATGCAAGTATATACACCTGAGTATTATCACTTATTGATACTTTATTCTGTACCAATGTATAATCATGTAGATATTAAAAGGGGAAGGGAGAGAGTAGAGTCATGAGGCACTTTGCAAAACACTCATTAGCAGCAAAGCCTTGAATCACTGAATTCAAGCCTTCATAACCATACAAACTGGGATTCAGTTTCTTGAAATTCCTTGAATGTATTTGTTCTTGGTATCCATTTTTGCTTGTTTTCTGTTGTGTTTTATTTATTTCATCCTTTTATTGTATTTATGCTTTAATTGCATTCACTGGCCAGAGTTGCTTTATGTGAGATGGGCAGCCATAAATAAGTTAAATGATAGAAGCTGTTGTGGCATGAGACTGTCATGGCAGAGAATGACTGATAGAGTGATAGAGTTCTAGAATATAATAGAATGAAGAGTAGTCCTAAATTTAAAATATATTTGATGGGTTGTAAATTTGTATGAAATATGAAACATTCCCTATTTGATTAATGTTTACTATTATATCATATTCACAGATGGAAATAGAAAAGCTCAAGAAAGCTGTCATCACTACATGAAAGACGCATACTGTGGATCCTTAATGTGCCAGGATTTCAGAATCAGAAATGAAATTGACTTTTTAAAACCTCAAGCCAACGGATGATAGCATTCCATTAAAAAAATCTGAATATAATCTTATTTATATTTTGTGAGCTATGAGAAAAAAATGGATAGCTTTTTCATTTGTTTCTTGCCAATATAGGAGAGGCCTTATTTCTTACTGTGCAGTATGGCAGGGTTTGCTTGAGAATACTACTGAATCTGTATAAAAGAGGGGTTCTTAGTATATTTTTATTGAATATACCCTAATTTTAAGAGATCTGTATTATAAACAAGGCAATATAACTTTGAAAATAAACTGTAAAATATATAGTATAGGAGAGAGGAAAATGGTATAGTTTTGTACAGTTACTACTCTATTCACCATGCTAAAGGGATTGTGGTGTTAATCATATGCTGTTTTATTGTTCAGGTCTTTTGAGTTTGTTCTCACTATGAAGCAGAAGGATTACCAAACCCTAGCACTATGATATTGTAATATTTCCTTACCTGAGGATTCAGAGTACAGTACTGTGATTCTTGCACTATAGAATTTATGGAAAGGATCTATAATTAGGACACATGGACACATACAAACACATGGATACTTAAAATAAAAAAATCAAGGCATAAAATTGAGACAATCCTATAGTATGACATTTTTTCTAATTACGGAATGTGACATGTTAAATATTCTCTTGAGTGTTTCATTTCTTTTTACAAATTATAATCTAACACTACAATTTTATCAGCTTTAAAATGCTTTGCACTAATAATTGTAACATTTTAAAAATCTATAACTTAAAACTTATAACAAAATGTTTAAAGCTGCCAGTTTTCTAAATGCAGTCTTAAAATAAGGGTATATCATCTACATAGTTGTTAAAGTATTCAGTAAATCAATAATAAGTTTTTAAATCAATATTTGGCTTATGCTTTAGAATTCAAATTGAATTACTGTATATGTTGAACAATGTTTCTTTGAGTCATCTTGTTTAAGTTATTTCTACAGCCTAAAATCCAGGTTTTTTTCTGTAAAGAAAAAGCGAACTTCTTCAGTGCTCTGTTCAAGCCAAAGATAAAAATATAATTCAGCCCTTTTTTCTTCTAGCATTGCTATCCTAAAATTTTATAGAAAGAGGGAACTGTTTCATGAATGATTTTAGGCTTGTTTTAAGAGAGTGAAAAGTTTTGATGCCTTTGTCCTGTTTTATATGGCATTAATATTTTGTCTTATTTGGATGTGAGCAAACCATGTTGGTGTTCTTAACATAAAAGAATAAGATTTCTAATTCCAAGTATAAATCAGTGGATGAAAATTGGAAATGAAAACATAGGTGTATAAAATCATGATGACTGTTTGCTTACTATATGGATACAGAGCTAATAACATATCTAATATATCACTTAATGATCATCCTCTGTTGCCAGTTTTCCTTAATAATCATAGTAATAAATAATGTTCTCAGATTATTAACTTCTAGCTCAAGATTCGTTTTATACTAATTTATAAAGAGATTAATAATTCTTGGCTTAATAGACAAAATATTCATTTGTGTGTTTATTGGGCTCCTCATTTTGCAGAGAATTCAGAGCTGGGAGGGATGTTTTGTCTTGAGCAGATCTTTTGCAAGTAATCCCCTGCAAAACTCAGTTGGGAGAAAGAGAAACAAGCCACCTTCTTCAACAAGCATGGTGGACTGACAGACAAAAAAATTGTCCATCCTCCAAGATACCTAAAGTACCATTGTATTTTGTTGCTGCTGTCCTATCTAAAAAGTAGTCAGAAAACCTCCCCCCCCCTTTTTTTTTTTCTTTGTCATAGGAAAAACAAGCTTTTTTATTTCCTTGAATAACAGCAGTTACACATTCTAGGTGTCCTTTCAAAACCACAATTTTGCAGAATAGAAGCTTAGAAGCCACCTGCCTTTTCTCTCCCAATGCTCATTAAAGTATTATTTTTTTCAGTACACGATAGCTTTTTGAAAGCAGCTTCAGCCCTGGCTTTCTATTATCTTTAACCTCCACCCCTCACTTCACATTACAAAATTGAGAAAGCATGGGGAATTTTAAAATGTGACTTTGGATTTACCCCCCCCCCCCAAATACAACAACAACAACAACAAACAAGCACCAGCAATGAGAGAGAGAGTTCATACTTTCTTGGGAACATTCCAGCATAGAGCAAAGCCATCTTTTCTTTATTCCATACCTCCACAGAAGGAAAATATTTTTTTCCCTCTTGCAAGGGGATTTTTTTTTAAAGCTGCAAGAGATCCACCTCTTCCTTCTGGTAACTGAACTTGAAAGGAAAATTACTTCTTTATTCTTCCTAGGAAAAGAAAGGGAATGGGTTTCCTCTTCCCTTCATATTTTTGCAGAAGCAGAAATAATAAGTAGAAATGGTGCCTTAAAAAGAAAAGCCTTACTTGCACTAGTCAAAACACACTTCCATTCCTCCCTAGAGCTGTATTGTATTGTTCCACAAGTCGAGGTTTTGGTGCAGTACCAAAACTGGGCAGAGTGGAACGGCACACTCAATAAGAGGAGACAGATGTACATACTGACATCTCTTAATTGATCAGGTCCATCCCAAATTAAACAATGGCCTTGAGTGTTGAACTTCGAGAGGGGTTTTATTTTATTTATTTTTTGCTGATTCCAATTCCTTTACACTCTAGAGTGATTATGCAAACAAGAATTGATTTTAATTAAAGAAAAGTCATTTATATGCTCCTTATTGAGATCCTGAATGTGAGGCAGAATAGATCGCTGTAAAACAGTTTTTTTTCTACTTTGAAGCTTATAGCAGATAAATAGGACAATCATGGAACTCAGAAGTGTTCATTATTAAATTGTCTTTTTTCCTGTAGCAATAAAGAAACAAGTGCAATGACTGATGTAATAACAAATCCTAGAGATTGCCACTATGAAGGTTTATTTTTAATGATGGCTATTTTTTCTAATGTCTTCTTTATGCTCTCTAATGGGAAATGGGACTGGATGCAGACATTCCAAAGAATAAAATTTATTTCAAGCAGGTATATTTACTGACTTGTTTACAGGTGCTGCAAAATTATGTATGCTATCAAAATGCCACAAATAAAATTATATGCTGTTAATATGAAACGTATTTTTATTCAAAAGCATTCAAACATGTTTTATGTGATTCATCTGTATTTGTATACAGAGAAAAGGACTTTTGTGTGATTACAAAAAATAATTCAACTTACATGTGAGAGGTGAGAAAAAATGTCTATTGTCACCACTGATTTTCAGTATTCAGTATGAATGGAAATATTAGGGAAATCTGGAAATCTGATTCATATAAAATTGATGAGACAAAAGGTGAATACTTGGATGTTCTTGTTCATTGTGAAACAAAGTAGGAATTAGACGACTTGGAAGATGGAATTATTTCTTTTCAAAACACTAAATGATCCGGTTAATGAAAGCACTTCCTCTCCAGAACCAAGTGGCATAGGAGTGGGCAGCCTGTGCCCAAAGCAGTGTTTGGGCTTTTTTTCTTTCTTCAATGGAATATGTAAAGTTTTAAGAGAAAACTTCGTTAATTATAGTAAACAAGTAGAAGGGTGATACTGAAAGTATGTTAACTGATACTTCTCTAAATCAGTTTAGCCTGATCAACATATAATGAGGTACTAAACAAACTGTAATTCTCTTAGCCTTGAGAGTTTGGCTAGGTCTGTCTCTCTGATCAAGCTTAAAATCCAATTAGGAATAATTAGAAGTTATGACAAAAAAGTTTCAGAATTGCTAATAATTCACAATGTTCACAGTGCCTTTCTCGTTGCCCTTATTTTCACTTAAAAGATAACATCAATCTGAAGGAGCCATCAAAATTAGCAATTACATTCATTTTCAGTTCTGTTAACTCTACACCAAATTAAATATCCTGGTTACTCTGATCAGTTTTATTTAAAACATTTTTTGATATTCAAACAATTCTATATCCTTAAGTGTGGCTAAATTTCACCATGTAAGATGCCAGCAGTCTGGTTGGCACTCTACCTAATGAACTAATTAGCATTAACTACACGCATGTAATATATTTTATGGGCTGGTCATTCACCACAGTTGAAAAAGCAAATTTGTGGTTAGTATATCCCCAATCCCAATTTAGGCAAATACAATTTCTTAGTTTTCCTTTAGGGGCTGCTTTTTGCAAGGAAAAATATCAAACCTGTTATTCTGTTTATTATATTTGCAAACAGCGTAATATGAACAGATCACAGGATATCTGCTTGTGGAGAACATTGCTTGGTTTTCTCCCATTACCTCCTAAACCTTTTTCTGAATGAAAATAGTAAATGAAGAAATAGTACTACAATAGTAAAAGGTAATACAAACGAAAAAAGAAAAGAAAAAATAGAGCAAATAAAAGATGCAAAAGAAAAAGAAAAAACTCTTGTAAGAAAGCAACTTTCCATTCTCATAAGTGTAAACAATTACTCTCTCTTTTCACCTCTTAATTAACACATACAAAACTCTTCATCCCATAATTCAACTATAATTTAGGAAATATCTTTTCCAATCCAGCTGTCAGCAAAAAATCCAAACAGAGCTCTAAAATAATAACATTACCTAACAAACCTAAAGTAATCATCATTTTATATCTCAACACTTAACTAAGAATATCCACATTTAAAAAGTATAAAGTAGTCCCAATCTCCTAGTACAGTGGTGGCGAACCTACGGCACACGTGCCAGAGGCGGCACTCAGCCCTCTCTGTGGGCACGCTCGCCATGCCCCGGAGATGGCAACCATCTCTCTTCAACCAGCCGCCCACTAACTCGCTGAGGTCCCACATGGCTGGATGCATCCCAGCACCCTTCGCTTGCTGGCCTCTGTGTGCAGGGGCCGATGGTGTCAGGCAGCAGCCACCCCGGCCCCTGCCTCACCTTGCCCTGTGACAATGGCACTCCCGCCTTGCCTTGCTTTGCCTCACCCTGCAGGACGAGCCTCCTGCCCACCACCCGACCTGCCAGAGACCCCCTGGATCTCCCCCAACCCTGCCCGGCCCCCACAGGCGTCCCTCCCCACGAGCAACATTGAGGTGATCACGCCCACCTTTTCCACACCCACCCAATCTGCCATGATCACAGCCACGCCCATCCAGTGGGCCACACCCACCCGGCGATAAATAAGTGGGTTTTGGGTTGCAGTTTGGGTTCTCGGTCTCTAAAAGGTTTGCCATCACTGTCCTAGTATAAACCAAAGGCTGAAATTGAACATGACAAGGGGGACAATATCTCCTTTAAAGAGAGCAACCTCATAAAAGTTTCTTAATTTAAATGAAAAAACAAGCCAATTTAGATGCTGTCAAGTTAGGATACGTAACATGAACATGTTTAAAGGCTTAAAACATTTTTTTTTCGCTTCCATTCAATTGTGCCTAATTCTCGGTGTCTGCTTGAACAAGTTAACTGCAATTTTAGGGGCAGTTTTTCAGAATTTCACAATTGCCCAGTTGGCTTTGTGCAGGACTATAGCTCATGACCTCCCTGGTTCTAGCCTAATGCCTTAATCACTACACAAAACTGGGTCTCCAAGTACCATATTAACCATAAGCAAATCCAATACCCAACATGTTTCCAGTTCAGATGTCAGCAAGTCCCAAAAGAACCACCCAAAATAATATGCCCCAATTAATTTAACCCTGATTGAATAAACTAACTTTGTGTACTTACTTTTTGCATAAAACAATCTTGCTCTTTAATCCATTCAGATGATTGTTGTTTCTTGTCTCAACTTTTTTCAAAAATTTAAAAAGCCTCTTTTCTAAGTTCAGCAAAAAATATACCAATTACTCTCTCAGATTGGCATTCTTATTTCCTTTTTTTAAGCCTCATCTGATATTTTTTTATGTCTAATGACAAATTCTTGTTCACATTCTCAGATAGATTTTGTTGCAAATCCTTTTCTGTAACAGTTTCATCTGGGAATAGAATGTTGCTAAGAACAAACAACATAGCTGACATCAATGATTCAGGATTCCAGTGCAATTCCTCAAAAATGTCTCTTGAGCACCAAGTTGCTTATCTTGTTACTTCTCTTGAAAATAGCTTCCCTTTCCCACAAAAATACAATTATTCTTTAGAATTTATTTCAAAATATTAATATTCAAAATCAAATATTCCAACTTTTCAGAACTCTTAATATGTTTAAAACTTTCTAAACATCTTGTTTTTTGCTGTTTATATTCTTAAAGCTTTTAAAGTAATTTAAGAAATATTAAGGAATGAAAGCAGTCATTTGGTCTTTCCAGCCTTGTTATTTGAAGGTCTTTAACCTTTTTTAATATATATATATATATATATATATATATATATATATATATATATATATATATATATATATATATATATATATATATATATATATATATATATATATATATATATATATATATATATATATATATATATATATATATATATATATATATATATATTTTAAACCAACAAAACAAAACAAAACATAACACACATACACACACAGTATATATTCCTCCCTTATTTTACAGCGATTTTGTAACAGTAATCTTCTATTACTTACATTTTCCCCCCTTATTCTTCTTTAGAATATTTGTCCTTGTTGCCCCATTATTTCTTATTTGCATTTTTCTTCCTTCATACATTATTATACACACATTTTCCACTTTTAACCTTTGCACATTTATTCTCTC